ATCGAAATGTTCCTTGTTGGAAGCATATTGCTTCGATTGTTCATATGTCTCATGAAGGTGAGATACATGATCATGAAAGTATATGACAATGAAAAGGGTACAATATGGGTGTGAGTGTATGCGTGTGTCCCTCAATCTGGTAACACCCATATCCACACTCTCTTGTCAATGATAGACTCAAGAATAGAGCTAAGTAAATATTACAGTTTTCCAAATGGATAGTTAGATCATTTTGAGTGAATGAAAAACAACATGCTATGATTATAACACTAAGAAAAAGCTAAATAGATCAATAGATTGACCTCAATATTTTTTTTATATACTAGAAACTATAGGATGTAGTCTGACGAAAACTAAATGATTGTAGCTCATCTAGTTTTTGAAATATTCACAAAGGAATATACCAATTATCTACTACATGGACAGATAGTTTAATCAGGCTCCTATAATTCTATTATATATCATCATTCCTTAGTTGGTGTAACAATAGAAAAAATTTCGGTCGAAGCTATTCACTTCTTAGTTAGATAGATCAGTAAAAATTTCGCTTCTACTGTTTTTAGTATCCACTTGTTAGAACAGCTCAAAGATGGTATGGAGTAATTTCGTAAAGATCGAAAAAGACGTTGAATATGAATTAGTCATATTCTCTTTCAAGTTTTCAACAAATCTAAAAAATTATCTTCTAATTATCATGATACTCAAACAAAATTGATTTAGTCAATTAATAACGAATAAATCTTTCCTATCTGAACTACACATGTCCGCTAGTCATTCTTCAAATGGAAGAATGATCTGTCGATAACAAAGATGACTTAAAAAATCAAGTTCATATCAATAGAAGGGCAAAACTTGTTTCTCAATTATCTATTCCTCTTAGTTAGAAACAGTCATTTGACCGATTGATTGCTTTCTTTTTATTCTTGAAGTGGAATGATTTGTGTAGAGAGGGTGTAGTTGAGGTTGAAGCAAGGAAGAACAGCTGGATCCACACCTACAACCACCTTGAAAATGGCTGTCGTTATCGTCATCTTCGGACACATAAGTATATTGGTTAGTTTGACCACATTTGTCGAAGCTAATCATACTGATGGAAAAAGAAAAGAAGCGGATGTTTGTTCACAAAATGCCAGAAATCAAGTTCATTGTACTGTATTAATGATGCAACGTATGCACACTCCGTTTTTTACAATTAAAGTACATGCAAGTATATTGAAGAATGAAGCAAATTTTGAACCTATTGATTCTTCAGAACGAGCACCTAGTTTTGTTTTCATTCATGAATTCATTTACAATAGAAGAACAACTTCTGTTAGTTATGTGTTATCAATGTACACCCACATTTCAAGATATCCAACAATTTTTGTGAATACTCATTTCAAGAATGTGGTGAACTTGGTGCTAATGCTCGACAATGTTATCTTTGCTCATATTCTATATTACTTGAGCAAAATATGATTTTCATATTGTAATAACAAAAAAAAAACAAAGATTATCGTTATAGATTTTTTTTTAATTATTATTATTTCTAAAGATGTCATTTAAACAATCAAGCTATGTGATGTCAAAAATGCTATTATTCAACAATTAATATTAAGCATGATATATTTGATTATCTTCAAAAGAAAATATATACAATTTAAGTTATACAGAAAGAAAGATTCAAACAAGATTAATATACATGTGTTGTTATTCTGAAATTACTTATGAAAAAGTTCATTTTTATACTCAAATTCTAGTATACTAAAGATTTTTGAATATTTATCTAATATTGGAAATACAGCAATATCGAATGAAAACCTTATATGCGAAGATAAACGAGCAAGAATCAAAAATATAATCCATCAATAAATACCAATTGGTCAACAACACTTTATATTAATACACAAATAAAAAGTGTACAAATCAAAACTAATGATGAATAATATTTCTTAATTGACCAACTTTTAATGTTCGATAATAAAAAGTCTTAAGAAAAGACAGATTAAATTTTATTTCCATTATTTCATCTAGGAAATATTCTTTTTTCACATTTATTATTTGGAATACACAAAATTTATATTCATGACAATCATTTCGTTCCAATAATAGTCATCTAACAGAAGAATTAAATTTTATACCATGTACACATCATAATAGTCTTATTGCATTACGATCAAATGTTACTTCCACAACTTTCATTTTAGTATATATCTACGCCAATGATTGATGATGAAACAGATCATTGTATTGATCGACTTGTTACTAATTTAATACAAATACCATTCGTCATGAATCATATCGATGTGTATAAGATATTGTACTTGTTCAACTATTCTACCATCAAATGTTTCTCTAAAAGAATACCATCTAATTATATTCATCTTAGCAGAAATTTTCTCGAAGTTACCTCTACCTTCCACGCATTCAAATGTCTTTTTGTCAATCAATTGAGTATTTCTATCGATGGAAATATTTTCGACAATCCGATTTATTAAACTATCAATACTATGATTTTTCAACCATTATTCCTCTTTTACAAAATAAACATGGTAACATGAACTGCTTTTACATTTAGTTAGGATAATGGCATTATTATCTATTCTGAGAGGATAATTCATTTATTTTGTGAAAAATTCAATGAAGTTGACTATCTGTTACAGAAAGAAGAAATTTTTTCTTGAAACTTTCTTCTTTCTTCTAAAAAATGACACACAGCTTGATGATAATACCGTTCAATAGGATAGTGTCCTACAAATTGATACGCCTTTTCCAATGATTTACAAAGCTCAATCGTTTTAGTTCTTTGACTTTTCAAAATGAATTGATCGTTTCTAGAAAGAGTCTCTTTTAAATCGACATTATGGTCAATATTTAATAACACATTGTCGTCTGCTAACAAATCAAATAATTCATCGGTTGAACTACCACTAGTAGCTTTCATATGATGTGTACAATATAAAATTTTACTCGACTTCGATTTTTGAGAAATTTCTATTTCAAAAAAATTTCTGTTTATAATGCTAGTAGACTTTTTGCCAAATTTCTTTCCTTTGTAGACCTATATTATCTTTAAACTAGACACTTTTTTCTACAAAATAAATGAAATACTTGTCTACTGTCTTAGTTTTAATAAATACAACTGTATTTCTTGGAATCGAAGATAAGCTTTTCATTGCAAGGTTTGATTTTAAATAAAGATCAGAAGCTGAATTTAAAAAATCTTTTGCATCTTTCACGATGCTAATCTCATTGGTAATTGGTTGGGTATCACCAAATTCATTAATTCATTTTTCTAAGTATTCCATTACTGAGAATATATTGTTTTTAAGTTGAGTCTCAATAAAATACCATAATAAGACTTCGTGCTGTGATATTTACAATCTAATATTTGTCCATTTTTTAGACTGTCTCTCTATATTCACTAATATATTCGTTGATTTCTCTTGATGATATTAAAGAATACTCTCTGATTGTAGCATACACTAGCTCTTCTTTAGCAAATTCTTTGTTCAACTCTTTATTTATCTTTTCTTCTCTTGTTAAGTTTTCAGATACATACATCATGTTAATTCTCTCTTTAGTCACAACCACACCCTACACATTAATCAATAGGTTTCTTCAAGAGATCTACAGATTATCTTAATATGATCAACTATTTTTCAATACTGATGACTGATGATGAATGATTAAAAATTCTTCATATTTGTGTACGTTATTTTCAATGTCATGTTAATCCTCTTTGTTTTCTATTTCTATTGTCGATAACTAATTAACAAGTACTTTTATTATATGTAAGTATCAAGCTATGGTTACTACAAGAGTTTATATCCTAGTTTTTTTTTTTTTGCATGACTTATGAAATAAAAACTGTTTTGTAGAACTTACATATATTTTTTAAAGAAAAATAATGAATGTAAATTTTAAGATAAAATCTTACGGTTTTCCATTACAGATAGGTATGACATAATAGATATAAGTGTCACATTTTTAGTCGCTAAAGAGGCTACGTTGATAAGATTTTCTTTATATATTTCAAATTCCTTCTTTTTATTTTAACATTGATTCATTCGATGGACATGTTCGCTTTTGTTGATTTCTATTTTTTTTTTCTTACTACATTTCAAATTAGAAAATCAAAATTCAAGTACAAACTAGTATTACTTTTTGTTTCGTTTAACAAATAGATAGACACATACAAACGCTTGTATGTGAATGATTCCCTCTTTCAGACAATGATATAATTAATTTTCGTAACTAATAATATTGAGTGCAAAACAAGAATTAATGTATGATATAAACTGCGATTATAATATCTTGATTTTCAATTGATCTTTTTATTCGTATTCTTGATAGCTAGTAAAAGGCAAATAAAGATATGTGAGAAATACTGTCATGACGATATTTATTCATACACGGCAATTTGTTTATGGTACTATGAATAACCATAATAGAACAATACAAAAGACAACAACTGAAATATGTGAACCATATAGAAAACGATACAAATGAAAAGACTAAGAAAACTATTCATTGTTCAAGTGGTTAGAGTACTGATTGAGTTCACTTGACCATTTGATCATGAATGTCATGTTTTATGATTGATAATCTTCATCATCAGATGAATCAGGTACACTTTTTTTTTCGATGATAATTTTATATTAGCTATGCGTTTGGTTGGTCTTTCATCAAGTTCTTCTTCAGTCGACGAAATAACTTTTCTTTTGTATATACGTGACTAAATAAACAAAGAAAAATTGCATAAAACCAAAATATAATGATAGCGATGACTTACTTTAGTGGAAGATGAATTTTTTCTTCTTTTCTCCTGTTTTAATGATGATTCAAATTGTTTGAGTAATTTTGGACAATGTAAATTGTACTTGTCCTCCCACTAAATGAAAAAACATTTCAATTACTCACTATTCAAGTAAAATAAATTTAGATAAAATATTCTTCTATATATTCTTTTAAATAACTCAAAAATTGAAATAAGAAATAAAGAAAAACAAAACAAAAATTCAACTTACAATATTTTGATCATGACCAAAATCTTTCCATTTTAATAAATATTCAATACTATCATTTCGAATTCGTCGATCAAGAATTTTTTCTACGACAAACATTTGTTTCCAAAGATTGACTTGAGCATTTGAATTGGTTAATCGTTTTTGAAACATATTTTGATATTTTTTACTAATATCAAAACCAAGAAATGATCGTTTAAGATTTGCTGCAGCTACAAGTGTTGTACCAGATCCAGCGAATGGAGATCACCTAAAAATAGTTTACCATGATTTTAAGAGATTCATTTGAAAAATTTAATCAAAGAAAAAAAAAAATTCTCCATTGCTTTTCCATAGTGAAATTTTGTTCAGCTTTAAACAAAAACATGTCAATTGATAATAATTATTTTTTCTTAATATAATCATTCATTCTAGATTTACCTTGATCAGTTGTTGCTAAAATACAAATTTCAGCTAATAATTGTGGAAATGGAGCTGGATGTGAATTTTTTCGATCAGATGCTATTCTCCATATTGAACTTTTAAAACATTCTAGTAATTTATTACGATAAAATTTTAGTGGTAATGAACAATCATTGAAAGATTTTGTTAACCAAAAAATTGTTTTCAAGATTTGAACGAAAATAATCAAAATTTTGATTAACTGTAGAAACACGATCCCAAATAATTGTTTGATATAATTTTAAATTACATTGAAGAATAAAATTTTCAGGAGGATAATCACGTTTACAATAACGACGATCTTTATGATTATAAAAAAGAGAACCATTTGGTGTTAATATACGATTTATTTCATTTAATAAATTACATTGTCATTGTTGATATTCATATTATCATCATATGTATCATAAATAATTTGTCCATAATACGGACGACCTTCTCGAAGATCAAGTTTATTGTAGGGTGGTGAAGTAACAATACATTGAACTGAATTATTCGGTAACATTTGTAATCCTTTTAGACAATCTATGATCATATATTTATTGATATATGACTAAAAATGTGTAAAACTTGATTTAAATTAAATTAGAATTTCTAAACTGTTAAAAAATATAAGATTCTTAAATATATCAAATTTCTTTTATTCAGAGTTTGGATAGCCGAAGTTTTTTAAGGCCTCTCTAAAAAATAGTCACTTTGCTCGAAATTAATATATACGTAAAAATAATAGTCCGTCAATTGATCTTTCATAAACGACAAAACTTTTTTTTTTTCATTAAAATTTTGAGTATTTCTATCGACTTCTATTAGAAAAATTGATTTTCATTGTGATCTTCATATGTAAAATACAAACATTAAATTTTTCTATGATATTTAATCATTTGAAAATCTCTAAATCAGCTTATTTTACCTTAAGTTTTTTCGTTTGATCATTGTGAATACTTGATTTCAATGTTTGCTGATAATTAATTGAACTATGAGTTGGTTTTGGTATATTTGCTGTTGATGAAATCTAATAAAAATTAATATAAATAAAAATATCCCTGAAAGTTAAGTCATTAGTTGACTTTTTATCTTAAAAAAATAGAAGGGAAAAAATGGTGAATCATAAATAAGCATGACGTTTACCATCTGCATTTTCTTTCTCACATTAATATCTTTTCAGATACATGTCACTTCGTTATCTCATTATGTGTTCTTGTTTTATTCAGTTGCATATTTTTTTCTTTTCTTTCTCTATGAGTGGAATCATTGTGTAGGCAAATTCGTTTTTTATATCGCTCAATGCCGGTGAAATGTATAGATGACGTTTCCTTGAAGTCAATTATCGATTTCTTCCTGTCAATGATTTACGATATTTTGATTAGTGAAATGTCAAAAGATTGTGTTGATTTCAACCAGCTTTATCATGACTAGATTAGTATTATAAACTAATTTGATTTACATCAAATACAAAAATTAAAGTAAATCATTATCTTTTAAGATAAAATTGTAAACAATTAAAATATTTTGATTTTAAAATGAAAAAATATCAATAGAGAGATCTTAAATGTAATAGACAAACCTCATTTTCAATTAGAATTCGAAAAGTATATTGACATTGATTATTCATTATTGGTTCTTCTTGAATTTGTTCATCTTTTGTCAAATCTATGAATTCAATATTTTTGTTCGACGTCATAGTACAATGCATTGATATGATTTATTTTTATTCAAAATAATTCTAAAAAATTATATAATGAAATATATTTATATTTTGCTAAAGAATAACTTACTTGAATAGTTAGAGATCACTTTACAAAATCGATTTCGATTGTAAATTTAATCTTTTAATACCGAGTGAAGAAGCTTGAACAACTGAAATACACAAAGAATAAATAATATAGAACTGATTATTCGACTTTCACTATAATGAGAAAATAGATAAAAAAAGAAGAGAAAAAAATTTTTTTTTTAGCATGTCACGTATTCGAACTGACGTGTACAGAGCCTGTAATAATGTTACTATTGAAGAAATCATCATACGTATTTCTCTTATTTGCAAATGTAACTTTTAATTCGGACTCTAATAATTAGTATTAATTCTGTGAAGAGAATTGCTCAAAATCGTATAATAATTAAATTTTGTCTATGTAAAAATTTCAACAGAGATTCGTTATTATGGTTATTCATCCATAATACGTCTCAGTTCATTCTCTTTGTATGTCTGGTCTTTTCTGTAATTCTTTCATTTTGTTGGGAATTTCTTATCACATGCCTGATACATTTTCTTATATGCTTCTTCTTTCTATCCGTTTCTGTTTCTCATATATGTGATAATGAGAAGAATTGAAAGGTGAGAAATTATATTTATGAAAGTTAAAATTAAACATTTTTCAGTTGAACAAATGTAGATATCAAAAATTGGAACAGCATTTTTTAATTATTGATAGTCACGATGATAATGATGAAATATGCTACTATATGTAAAAAAATCTCATTTTTGTATTTCGTTTGAATAATACAATAATCAAAACTAATCGATATGATCAATGAAAAATTTGTTCTTGTTATCTTTTTTAACAAGAATGAATGAAACGATTGTTTGTTTATACATATAAACAAATCTAAATTTTATTATGGGAAAATTGCGAACAAATATTTATATTCGATGACAAGAAGAAGGAAAAAAACAATTTTTTAAATGCTTGATCGATTAGATTATAATCAACTTTCTTTTTTTTTTACATCGTTTGATTGTTTACTGAAGTTGCGTTTCAAATTGATTCCAAATTAGAAGATACGTTTCGGTGAGCCAATTCTTGATTGTGGATACTTTTAATTACCAATTAAAGGAAAATGTCCGCAAAATAGAATCAGGGAAAGAGACGAAAATGACCGCAGATTGGAAATTGTCCGCAAAGCGGAAGCGTAGGGATAGGGACAAAATAACCGCATGATAGACTGAAGACAAATTTTATTAAATGAAGAAATGTAAAGAAAAAATTCATTAATGAAAGACAATGGATATCTAATTTTGTTTAAGTTCATAATCAAGAGCATCTTTGTCATTGGTATCGAATACCTTAATATAACAATAACAGAGTGAACGTAGTCGCTTTTGATAACCTTCAAAATCTAAGCAATCATCTAAATATTCTTGTTTAGCTTGAATTAAAACATCTTCATTCGCTATCGATGTTTAACGCATTCATATACATTTAAAGACACTTTTTCTGCATGTTCATAGTCATGAATTTCATCTGATTGAATAGATAAAATTTTTAAAATTGAGCATTCGTTTGTGGTGATTGAAGCATTACAAGATTTATGTATACAAATCCATATTTTGTTTTCATTCTTATTCGTTCGTTTTAATTCGAAATAGTAGTTCTTGAACATTATTTCATTATTACCAGATTGTGTTATAATTGAAGAAAAGCTATCATCGTTCACGATTGGCATTTTTATTTAGTTTATCTAACTATATCTCTATTACTTTATATACTTTCTTCCATAGTATATGCAAAAAATGACTTGGACACCACGTAACATTCCAAACTAGCTTGAAAGATGCATTATTCACCCTCAAATCGAACTAGCTACACTGATCATCTTATTATATCTATATTCGTTCGTTTCCATGATGCGAATATTTTTTTTGTCTCTCTCCCCTTGATTCCACTGTGCGGACATTTTCGTCTTTCCTTCCAATTATATTTTGCGGACATTTTTTTCCCGCCAATTAAGGAAAAATGTCCGCAATCAAGAAGACACGTTTTGGTGCTGGCCTTCTATTGTTTCACACTCACGTGCAGGCATGCTAATATATATTCATGCAATAATACTATCGTTATATGTACATCACGTCAAGCATTATGGGCGTGAGCCTTCTCAATCCATACCTACATCCAAAATATCATGACTATTGATGAATAATAGGAGCTTAACATCGATGATAAACAAACAAAAATATAAGATTTTATGTATGGGTGTGTGGGCGTGGGTGAGCGTGGGTGTGTGGATGTGTGAGTGGGCGTGGGTGTGTGGGTGTGGGTATACAGAACATCCACACCCCAGAGCTGCAGAATCTACCCGTGTGCGCCACCGCGCGGTGGGGGAAATTTTTTGGGAAACTACTGCGTCTGGGAAAGTTTTCGGAAAGCTATTGAGTCTATGGAAGGTTTTGAAAATTATTGAGTCTAGGGAAATTTTACGAAAAGTTTTATCGGTTGGGGAAATTTTTCGTTTTTACGGCAGATTCTGCACCTCTGCCACACCCACACCCTCATTTTTAGTTTTATTGATTTTCAATATTTTAAGTGATATACAATTTTGTTGCGAAATAGATATGACGATTCATTCGTTTCTTATTCTTACAAATAGTTGAGTAATAACACCAAGAAGAAAATGAAATACAAAGAATAAGAAAAAGCCTTTAATTACTATTGGCTACCGAACATGCACATTTTCATCATATTATATTTACATCTTCAGTTAGAATAATCGTCATAGTAGAAAAAATTAAAGTAATGACATTGACGACAGAAGAATCAGGTGATTAAGTATAATTAATGAAAGAATTATTAATAATATAGACTATGGTTTTATTATTTCAGCTACATTTACTATGGATTCTGGACCATTTATTGACATTATTCCAATAATATTAAACTATTTAGATTTGAAAAGTCTTGTTCATTTAGCTAAAACATGTTATTTTTGGAAAGAACGTATCTATACAGATGTTAAATTATGGCCAAAGGTGATTGAATTACCTTATATTGGTTGTATGAATAATGATGTAGGTATACATAATGTTCTCGAAGATGTGATTGAGGCGAAACTATGGTCAATGGTTCAACCACCAAAAGATTCAAAAGCTTTGGAAAAAGTTCTAGAAAAAATGGCATCATCTGAACAGAGTATACAACGATTTAAATTGACCAAAAAGGTAATGATAACAATTAAATAAAATTTTCGCTGAGCAATAAATTTTGATAATTTTGGACGTTATATTTCTTTATGTTGTGTAGGTTCTATTCAAAAATTTTATTCATACTGATGAATCATTACGTCTAACTGCTTTATTATTTCCTTCGATTGAAGAAATTAGTTTTGAGGGTAATCTTTTATCAATCGTTGGTGTTCGATTCATAGCTCTATCCTGTAGAAAACTTAAACATATTGAATTTTATCTATGTGATAATCTTGATATAGGAAATGCTTGTCGTTTATTTAATACTGAAGATCATAGAGAAAATTTAGAACGAATTTTCATTTATAATGACTTTTGGTCAAGCTATACAACAAATTTCTCAACTAAAGATGACTTGCCATTCATGGACTTATGTCAACGCTGTGGTTTATATTATAATCAATTAAAAAATGAAAAAGAAATGTTATGTCTTTATCATCCAGGAGTAAGAGTCATGTGTTCATGTAATATGTCTATTTTTCGGTTTTGTTTCGAAATTTAATGCTATCCTTCAAATAAAATCCTAATAGAATTATTTCCTATAGGGAGACTATTTCTCTGTAATATTTTTATTTTTCGATAGAAATATGAAGGTTATGGTCATAGCTGTTCATCGTATGACTGTTGTAATAGCAATACACCTAACTATCCATCGACATTAGGTTGTCAATACACTTATCATGAGAAAAGCTCAAACACACTATCATTCAATCGGAAACATCTTTATGAATTACATGATGGGTAATTTAGAAGATCATTTTTTTTTGTTCTAATACTTTACTTTCGATATATGTTTCTTTTTTCATATTTTTAGTCATCCTGAATACATGTTCCAAAGGTATGAGGATGTGAAATTTCCATTGCGATTTACTGAACGACGTCGACTAGATGAATGTTATGAGGAATGGAAGAAACAGGAGCTTCAACAAGAAGAATAACAACATTATATCTTACAAAATCACATGCGACAAAATAAAATTTTCTTAACTTTGGGTTGCGTCTTATTTCCAACAAATAAATAAAAGTAATAAGCTTTTTATCAGAAATGCGCAGCATAAAGTTTGGATTTTATCCTAGCAAATCAGATATCCTTTTCTATTAAAGACCTGCGATAAAAGCGAATTCATGTAATTTTTTCTGTTTAAAGCTAATGATTTATTAAATACTTCAAATCACACTCACATCCTTTTAACTTATATCAAGGAATACCAGAAAAAACAAAATCGAAAATGAATTAAATCGAAATATTTTATTTTCAATGAATTTCAATCATCAAAAAAAGATGAATTAACAAATAGAATTGTTCAATCTATTTTGTTGAATTCAATGAAAAATTTCGACATTACCAATGACTATAATGTACCTGTTGAACTGATCGATCTAACTGAAGATAGTTTGAACGGAAATTTTCATTTACGTACTTTATCATTCTCACTAATTCATAAAGACAATGAAAAGAAATATTGGTCATTTTTTTGACATATAAAATTGTTTTTTTTGTCTTTTAAATGATAAGTATGTTTCAGTAACCATTGGCGTGTAATTTGAATTCAATGATTCATATCAATATGATTATGATCAATAGAAAAGAAAGCACTGATCATATTTTTGAAATGATCAATAAGAGATGAAATCTGACGTTTCGAATTAATTGAAGCAATTAATCGTTCGATACATGGAAAAAGTTTTGACCAATTGAATGTATCATTTCCTATAAATTGTCCATATTGAAGTAAGGATAATATTTGAATTTGTGGTAATGAAAGATTAGGAAAAGTTTTATATTGAAGTTTAGGATGAATACAATTTAAACAAAGATAATTGACACAAGGTATTACTCGTTTAATCAATGTAACAATTTTGTACAATGGCCAATCAGATGTATTCACAGTTAGTGATTGCACTTTTGATAGATCAACGATATTCTCATGCATATAAGGATCATTTAAAATAAGTTCTTTAACATGATTATAACGATATGGTAATTGCTATCGATCTGATGCAAATCTTAATTTACTAATACGATCATAAAATACGAGATGTTGCTCAATAGGTGTAATATAGTACAATCGAAAGATACTGGAGAAGATGAATCATTAATTGAAGTCGGAGCAAAGTAAAATGAGATGAAATACTTGAATCAAATGCTACAAACCGATGCGTATTAAGCCAAAATGGAGAACAAAACTGATCAAGTACTTTTTTATCGATATCTCCAGAAGACAATTTAAAATCAAATGTCTTAAGTTTTTGTAAATGTTCAAAAATAAATTTTTTCCATCGATTAGCATTGAGAAATCGACGTTCTACACAGCTGACAATGACTAGTTCTAATCGTCATAAATGTTGTAATGGAGTAAGAAACCTTTCGAATATGAGTACGCGTTATTATTTGTCCTAAAAAACAAAATGAAAACGTATCGTTAATATTGTTTCATATATTTGTAATGGCACCAATAGTCAATGATAGAGAAATAAGAGGCAACGTTGTTGGTTGTTTTTGATGAATATTAGATAATATGTCGGTTTCACCAAGATTTGACAATAATAACGATGTTGTAAGTGAAATAAGTCGAGAAGTATAACGAAAGATTCGTTTCAACACAGTAAGAGAACAATGAGACAACGATAATTGACGTAGTTGTTCAAATGAAATCTTGCTCATCAATGATAGAATATCAAAACGCACACCTGATGGTATATTAATAATGAGTTTTTTTCAATGATAGTGCAATTTTAATTAATGGAAGATCAATGCTGACGTCGATTTCAATAGAAACAAGATGTTGAACTTTGAATAAATCAGACAGTCATGATTAATTTTAGTGCATGCAAGTAAATTGTTGCATTGAAAATTAAGAGAAAAACAACAGCAATTGATATGGTGTTTCTTTCTCCTCGGACAGAATTAACGAAACGACTTGTTCTGATCGAACAAGATGGCATATAAGATCAAAGTAAGATTTATGAATCGATTGGAAATGAATTATATAATTGTCAAATTTTGATAGAACACGATTGAGATAGTCACTTATGTTATAAAACGTATGTAGAATTACATGAGTCCATAAGTAATTAATAATTAAATTGAGAACTTCGATTGGAAATTGATCGAGAAAGAAAGACATGTTTTTCTAGAAAATATATAATAAAAGGTTTTTAGAAGGAGATTATAAAAAATTACTTCTATTCAAATGCTAAGTACTCGATGTATTTGAATAAGGAACTGTTAATTAAATAAAAAAGAAAAATGTATTTGTATCTAATGAAAAATTCCTTCGAAGAACTATTCATAGTTAAACGCACTCGGATGATTCATTCGTGATACTTTTACTCAGTCTACGTTCCAATGAAATAAGTTTAACTAAGAATATATTTCGTTTTCACTAGAAACTCATTACATTTAGACTCAGAACAAACATGTTTTTCTTTGTCACTTTCTATCCGAAGAATTTCAATCAAGATGCGATTGTTCATTAAGTTTCTTAATAAGACGGGGTGTGGGTGTGGATGCGAGTAAGCAGTACACACCCACACCCATGTCTCATAATCCTTTATGAGCAAATTGCCAACAAAAGCCCACATACAAATGTGAAATATGACAGCTGGCGATACATTTCACAGAGGAAACGCAATGAGGTGGATAAGAGCAACATGAGTTAAGAATGTAGAAGAGGATGTATTGCTATAGTAATACATCACAGAAAGAATGCTTTATCATACTGATTTCGTCGTCTTAAATTGAAATGAAAATGAGGTATTGTTAACAACATTTACTCATTACCTTGTTTACGTGGAGAGTGAGCAGTTATGAGATATGGATGAAAATACACATAGCGAGTGATAGCTGAGTACAAAACTATATGTCACGCTGCATCACTAAAGCGTTCAACAAATCGATCTATGAATGCAACAGCTCTATGAATAATAAGCTAAGATTATAGTCGAAGACCCAACTTGCATTTTGTGCTGGCGGTCTATCAAACGACTGATATTCTTGTTTTTCGAGAACATGAAACCTAATCAAAATAGAGGTTCAAATTTTTTTCAATATTTAGGGAATATTGCCCAAAAGTAATTCTAGAAGTTGTCAGAGGTTAATTTTCTGTATTAGAGTAAATGGTGACAGTTTTGAACGAGCTTTGGAAACTTTTCGCTTATGAATGAAAACACTGAAACTGTTTTCTAGAATCAGAGAATATTTATCTTATTGGTTTCAAATACGTTCAAGATATGCATAGTTTTTATTGTGAAGGTATTTCATAAAACAACTTGCATAGTTTAAATGTACGCCAGTTTTTTTCTTAAAATCTGAAGCGCAATGGTGATTCGGGCGGCGATGGTGGTGGCGTTGAGTGAAGAAGAATTCGTGCTACAAACAATAATAAAATATAAGCAATAGAATTTGTTGTGTGCCGTATTCTTACCATTTTTTTCGAGCTCTAGAATCGCATAGTATATATCGTTGGTGCTTTCCAAATCAGTGACATTGACATTAGGCAATAGAGCAAATTCTTTTGGTTGAGGTTTTTTCCATTTGATCTTATGGTCGAATACTAATTTGTCCAATTTGGCAGTGAAATCAGTCGCCACTTTAACGATATTAGATCGACTGCCTAGCGAAGAAATCAATGCTTTGGTATCGATTGGTTTGAGAGCATTCAATGTTGCTTGATCAATAATATTAGGTGTCAAACCATTGATATCGATAATGTTTTCGACAAATGTTTGACACATATTATTTTCACCAGCATCATACGTGTAAAAATTTTTGTCGACATTCGACGCTGTGGAAATTAGTCGATTGAGTGTTAATGGTTTATCTGGTGTTAGTGGAATATCATATACATCAATCAATTCATCGGGTATAGACGGAGGTTTGAGAGCAATACGTTGTGCTTTTTCAAGTTTAAGAATGGTTCTAGCACTTACATTTAATCTGATATTTCCAAGCATATGTTGTAGTGTATGAGGTCCTTGACTATTCTTTATAGTAATGAGTAAATAATTGTGATAGATTTCATCATAACCAAGCTCAAGTTGTTTATCGGTAAATTTTGAATGGCTTAAAAAGTTAAGTATTTTAATAGGAAAACCTTGGACAGGTGTACGACCGAGTTGAATTTTAAGAATGAGTTCGTCACCCAGCTGTTCCAATAGATTTCGTACTCGTAATGGCATTTGTGCATCGTTTTTTGCGGCGATAAGTTGTGATCTATCATTCTTGAACTATGAATAAAAATTGGTCAATTATTTGAGATAGTTATGAGAACATTAAAAAATATTAATTGTTCTTTCAATATAATTTTCTGTTTTCATAAAAAGCACCATGAAGTCGATTCAAAATAAGACTAATATGTTGATAAGGATAAACAATTTTTATTCTTACCTTTTCAAAATGTAAGTCGGCACCTATCATTGCTGTTTAGAGCAAAATCTATAATTGAATAACAATAGAATTTTATTGCATGAATAATATCAAGATAAATCTAAACGTGAAGTAATCGACTATGTAAATGATACTTGAAAAATTAGTTGAATGAAATGACTAAAGTGTTCGTTCAAATAATTCAGTTTTTCAGCATTAAGAAACAACCTTGCTCTATGGTGACCTCTGATCACTTTATAAGGCACCTTGTCGATAACCTTGTCCAATCAATTAGTTTGTTAAAATATTTTTGAAGAAGATAATTATTGAAAAATCGGGCTTAACATTTCTAACGTTTATTGCAAAAACTTTCAGTTTAGATTTTTACTTTAAAAAAATGTGAATTCTCATGTAAAATCGATCTTTAGAATATTTCTGGTATTTCTAGTTTTCAGTAATATTACCTATTCATTTTATTCTCTACGATAGTGATTAAATTCTTTATGAGAGCTATCAAAACCACTATTTAGATATCTTTAGTGAACTGTGTTGAATAAGAAGCTTAAAAAAATTGTTCTTAAGTGTCATTCATCAGCGTATACTCCCACGAAGAACGAATGATTCAATCGACTCTTACCTTTATGCTCTGAAGGTTGACGTTAGAAATATGTGTTTGATGCTGTAGGTCATACGCTTGATTATGGTTTTTTTTCTTCCAATCGTCGAGTGATATGCAATGCTGTCAATATTGACATGCTGCTTTATAATATTCTCTTTCTTCTATGCGCATATACGTATGTGTGTAGCTTCATTGAGTATATTGAAAAAAAAGCCTTCAATCAAACACCTGACTCAATACTAAGGAAATATAATATATTACTAACCGAAGTAGATTTAACGATAAAAAGGCAAATAATAGATTGATTTTTTTTTCTTTATCTACTTCAAAATACTTTTTCTGTCATGAGAAGAGCTAATTCAAAGAAGGTATGGGTGTGAGCGTGAGCGTGAGTGTAAGTACGCTTGTGTTTTTTTTTTCTTCCTCCCAACAACACACCCTATTTGCACAAATCTTTGCAACACGATGGAGGTATATTTAAGATGCATTTATTGCTCATCACACCTGCTGATTTCATAATAATGAGACGCATATTTTTTAAAATTATCTGATGAAAACTTCGAACAAAACCAAAAACTAAGACACAGTATTAAAATAGACAAGTCCATACGGTTTTCATCAGCAATCTCAAAATTAGTAGGGGTATACTGTTTCTAATTCCTTGGGCGTCTAACTCTAGGAAACAAAAACCCTGTAGAAATCGGATTTCGAACATCTCTGAACAAATTCATACACATATATTTTCTTCTTGAGGTTGAGAGACAAAGGCACTCCGAGTTTCTGGAAACTCAAAATCCCGGACTGTCTTAGTGTAGGAATCTCACAACTCTGAAACTAGCATGTTTAAAATTTCTGGAAACTTGGAAAGTTGCAGGTTCGGGAGTTCCGGAAATACAAGCCCGATTGAGACACTCCTAATATTAAATATAACAGTCTGATTTTCCCATTTTACACGACGATTGCCGAAGCTTCTACTAATTGCGAAGTGATGATTAAAGTCTCATTCATAAAATGAACTTTTCTGAAAGAAAAGTAGGTAATAAAACAAATTTTTATCAACAATTTCAATTGAAAAGCCTAAATCTATTCATTGAAATAATTCATTAATAATCATCATCTATCAATACTTTTGAAAGCGACATAGACATCGCTCTCCACAGTTTCTCTGTGCTACACTCTTCTATAGTTCCTGGAATATAAACTATTTAAAATTATGTTACTTTATCAAACTGCTCTCTTTGCTCATTAAGGTGTTTGTGCCTGACTATAAAATCGCTAGGGAAAATTACACCTATCTAAAATGAAGCTTTCGCTTTGCTTGAATCAAAATAACGACGTAGTGACTAACATTATTTGGCTAATTCTTCATTGTAACGATAAGAATAGAGATACGCATTCGTTGCAATTTCCAGTTTTTCTAGAACACAAAATATGTGTCTCATTGATGGATGCTGTTCGTATTGGTTATATCAAGTTTCGGTTTCTATAATGACGAATACGTATCAAACACACATTGATTCAATGTGACATGATGTAGCAACAGACAAGATTAGTTTTCAGATTTCCAATCTTCAGTACATGAGAATAGCATAAATAACAAAAACTATAGTAGTTATCGACACGAAGATCGAACAACTAATTGAAAAAGCAAGGTTATATCAGTTCAAACAGCTTCTAGAATTGCAGCTCTGATGAAACAATCGTTTTTCGATAACAAATTGAATAAAGGCTTGTCTCAAATGAACAATGACTTGAACTCAATTCGATATCGTGCTGTTGATTCATATATTACTGCAAGAAGATGAGCTCGATATGGTGTTGGTGTGTGTGAGTGTGGATGTGGCTAGAGGTGTGGCTATGAATGTGGATGGTGGACGTGTATCTCTTTTCGCGCATACCGACACTCACACCCCACACCCACACCGTATTTTATAGAGCGAGTTTCGCTCTACAAACTGATGAAAAACGGAATTTCGGTTGGCTTGGATTGAGCCACTTTTAATCAAAATACCAGAATGGACTGCATAACATATTTTGTTCAAAAGCGTTTTTTACCTACATGAAGGAGTGTAGGTGCGGTTATGAGTGTATGAATATGAATAGTCTAATCGATGTTTTTGGTCATCCGCACATCCCACCCACACCCACACCCCATCTAGTTAGTGAGAATTTCAATTTCATCAATAAGATTTATTTCAGTTTAAGAGAAGTATCACACATCACTCATCGTTAACCGTTGACATAGTTTAAGAACTTCAAAATTAGTTATTTTATATCTTTGAATAAATTTTCTTTCAATTAAAATATCATAATACAATTTCATGTGTTTCAAAATAATAAAAGAAAAATTGTCGTCAATTCATAAATAAGCATGCATTCGTTCATTTAAATTTAGATTTTATTGCACAACATTGCCAAATGCAATATCAAACGACAAAAGAAAAAGAGAAAGGCATCATTTTGATATCTTTTCGTTTATACTTTAAAGGTCTTTTCAATTTTATCGTCATACCAACACATTTTAACATGAGTACGATCAATCCATTGAAGATTAACTTTTTCCATTGGTGATAGTATTGAACGATCAAGTCGTTGAACATCATATTTTGAACTAAGATGAAGTGCATTTGATGAGCCAAAAAATGTATTTGATGATGTCTGTAGAAAATAAAATAAATTTAAAAAAAATCAAAAACAAAACATGAAAGAAAAATGTTGACCTGCCAAAAATATAATTTCCCTTCATAACCTGAATACAAAGCAAGATATTTCCATCGGTTGAAAATTCTACACATGTAATTATTTCAGTTTTAGGTAGAACTTGACATGGCTAATTGAAAAGAGAAACTATTGAATATTGATGATTGACATATTATAAAATTCTTACTTGACATTTTGGTGCTTTTAAATCGTATAAAGCAAGAAGACCAGTTTTTGTACCAACACATAATTTAGGTGAGCTATGGCAATAAGTTACTGTTGGATATCTAAAATAGAAAAATTTTATTCAGCTAAAATAGAATCTATCCATGAATAGTATTGCTCGAAATCAGTGAATGAAGTGAATCTAATTTTTACAAAAAATCTATTTGTTCAGAATTCGATCTAGTCATACTACTGGTTTTTCTTCAATTTAGTTTCTAGTTTTTGCTTGATTGAAACATCGAAACTACATAAAAATAATAGGAAAATTCATCAATGAAAGAAAAAGTCTCGTTGAAAAAGAAAAGTACATGTATATTTTGTGCTCGATTACAATCGATGATTATGTTTCGTCTACAACATTCCAAAATCGGAACATTCTGTATTCGTTACATAAACTATATCACTGTGGAGAATTTCAAGCACTATCGTTTTATGAAAAGAAGTGTGGTAATCAAAGAAAACACAGATGAGACTCATGTCATACTACAAACTGTATATCGAATTAGATTGTCTATTAAATGGTAGCTACTAATTGATGATTGAACAA